CAAACATACAACAGGTACTGGTGACACAAACATCAGTTAGGTGTTTTTCCTGTGCCCAGGGAGCTGGGTACCTAACAGGCTGAATAAATAGTGGGCAGATGCTTACACCATGGCAGGAGGGCTCCCAAAATGATTCATACTGGGTGCTATCGGAGAGGCAGTCCCCACAGGTTGGGAGGCATCCAGGAAGACTTCCTGGAAAAGGGAGTTTCAGAGCTGAGTCCTTAAGCATAACTAGAAGTTAGCCAGGAGAGGGACAGGGGGAGAAGAAAGGCTTTTCAGGCAAGGGAAGAACCTACGTATGGCCAATTCTGGGATCTGCAAGCAGCTTACTGTACTGATTTTAAGATTCAGTCCCCTGCATTTTAACATCTCTGAAATCAGGATGTACCTAAAAATCACAGCATCTTACAATTTTTATTCTTGGTGATAGACTAGATTGGTTATAGAAAATAAAGAAGAGCCATTCTTCCTGACCATCTGAGAGTTGTGATTTTTTTTTCCCCCTAATGTAGATACTTTGTGCTGCCAAGTAGTCTCATGGAGAACTTCTTTCATTCCTTCATTCAGGAATGTGACTACCAAACATATAACAGGTACTGGTGACACAAACATCAGTTAGGTGTTTTCCTTTGCCCAGGGAGCTGGGTACCTAACAGGCTGAATAACTAGTGGGCAGATGCTTACACCATGGCAGGAGGGCTCCCAAAATGATTCATACTGGGTGCTATCAGAGAGGCACTCCCCACAGGTTGGGAGGCATCCAGGAAGACTTCCTGGAAAAGGGAGCTTCAGAGCTGAGTCCTTAAGCATAACTAGAAGTTAGCCAGGAGAGGAACAGGGGGAGAAGAAAGGCTTTTCAGGCAAGGGAAGAACCTATGTATGGCCAATTCTGGTATCTGCAAGCAGCTTACTGTACTGATTTTAAGATTCAGTCCCCCGCATTTTAACTTCTCTGAAATCAGGATGTACCTAAAAATCACAGCATCTTACAATTTTTATTCTTGGTGATAGGTAAAGTGAAGTTGTGGCTTAAAGTACCCTAACATGAATGAATTTTAAGTTTTGGGGCCCCACATTTGCCTGGTTCCCTTCCAAGGCCTTATGTTTAATTTTGCTTTTTTTTTCTTTTTAAAGATGACCGGTAAGGGGATCTTAACCCTTGACTTGGTGTTGTCAGCACCACGCTCTCGCAAGTGAGCCACAGGCCAGCCTTAATTTTGCATTTGTAATTTCATGTTCAGCTTCTTAAAATAGGTCCCCCAAACTGTATGAGCTTCAGGTCTCGCAAACCAGCATCCATCTCTAGTGTGTTTTAGAAGACTGGTAATTCAGTAGAGCTAAGATTAGTGCTTGTAGGGAATGTGGGAGAAGGGATCAGAGAAGGGCAACAGGGATGAATGATGAGAGACAGGAGATTTAGAATCCAATTTCAGTGAAAGATCGCCACATCTATTCTTCTGGTGGAAGAAGCCAGAAGCCTTGACTCCTGCCTCTCTCCCATGCCCCATGTCCAATCTGTCATTAAGTCCCATATACTTGGCCTATATCAGAGACTCGTAGTTCTCTTTTAACTCTTTTCCCTCCTTCTGTCAGGAACAGAACTCTAGTTTTAGTTAAGCACATGACTACTTTGAACAAAGACTGTATTTTCCAGCCTTCCTTGAAGTTAAATGTGGACATAAGTCTCAGATTTGGTCAATGGGATGTGTGGTGTGTCCCTAGAGTTTCCTTAAATAGAAGTGTTGTCTTATTTTCTTTCCCTTTTCTCCTTCCTGCTAGCAAAAATATAGACATGATGGCTGGAGCTGAAGCAGCCATCTTGGACCAGTCAGGAACAGAACTCTAGTTTTAGTTAAGCACATGACTACTTTGAACAAAGACTGTATTTTCCAGCCTTCCTTGAAGTTAAATGTGGACATAACTCTCAGATTTGGTCAATGGGATGTGTGGTGTGTCCCTAGAGTTTCCTTAAATAGAAGTGTTGTCTTATTTTCTTTCCCTTTCCTCCTTCCTGCTAGCAAAAATATAGACATGATGGCTGGAGCTGAAGCAGCCATCTTGGACCATGAGATGGCCTTAGGAATAGGGGCCACACATGGTGGAGTGAGACAGGATTCTGGATCACTTGCACTGTGGAGCACTATACTGACCCTGCTTTACCTACTTCTGGACTTTCACATGAGAGAGAAATAAACTTTTAGCTTGACTAAGATACCATTATTATTGATTTCCTGGTACTCACAGATAAAACCATTTCTAACTAATGATTCACTTTGCTGCAAGCCCTCATCACTATCCTAATCAGAGGTAGCAATATTTCTTGCCTGCCTTTTGAAAGAATTTATTAGTTGATATCCCTGTATTCTCTCATATCCACCTGAGCCTCTTTTTTGTCAGTTTTTTATACAATAGCCAAAGTGATTGATTCAAAATGCAAATAGATTGTCACCCCACCTCCCTTCAATCATATCAGTGACTTCTCACTGATATTAGGGTAAATCTAAGTAGTTACAATGGCAAGACTCCTCTGTGATCTGGGCCCTACCTATCCCTCCATCTTCATCTCATACCATGTCACACCGGCCTTTCTGTTTCTCAAGTGTGTTGTGATTTCTCCTACCTCAGGGCTTTTATATGTGCTGTAGCTTCTGCCCTAGATGCTTTTCCTCTCCTCCTGTCTCTTTGCCTTGAAAAACTCTGTCCATCAGAACTCATGTCAATCATCTGTTCTTCAGGGAAGCTTTCCCTCGTCTATCTTATATTACCTCATTTCCCCATTATCTGCTCTCATGGCTCCACATGCCTCTTTTTCATAGCATTTATCACAATATTGCCTTTATATTTTGTTCAAAATTTTTTGGTTAACATTTATCATTTCCATTAGATGATATGCTCCATAAGAACAGGGACGTATCATTTTTTGTTTATGATTGTATCCCTAAGGCCTTTTACAGTGTCTGACATATACCTGACACTCAAAAAACACTTTCTGAATGAGTAAATGAGAGATAAGTGGGAGTCAAATCATGTAGAAGTGGGTATGTCAAACAAAGACCTTTGTCCTCAAGAAAATATGACAATCAAGGTTTTTTGGCAGTAGAGTAAAATGTATGTAATGGAAAAATATTTTTGCCAGTGCTGTGAAGAACACATTGGAAAATTCTATGTTGGAAGTAGACAAGTTTCAGTGGCCATAGCAGATATACAAGTGGGAAATTATAAGGGCTTAAGTTTGTGTTATTTCCCGTTCTTTTTGAGAATTCCCCAGTATAAATCAGGTTGGGTCTCAGTTTTCTCCACTGCTGGTTTGGGATCTGGCTTTCATGGCCTGGTTAGTGAATGTTCCTTTTTCATCCTTCCAATATGTTGCTGCTATTATTTTATTTGCTCTTCTTCTTGTTTTTGCTGATTACATTTTTAATCTCTTTATTCTAGTTTTAGAGGAGTTTCGGGAGAGAGCAAAATCAGATGATGTGTTGAATGACACTTTAACTTGGAACTTCCTACATTTTTGTTTTATTATGAAAATTCTTTATTGTTTTATTGCAATAAAACTCAGGTTGGCCAAGACTTTTATGTGACAGTATAAAATGATAGCAAAAGTGTGGTTGAAAGAGTAGGAGTACAAATTGGTACAACACTTCTGGAGAGCAGTTTTCTTCAAAGTCTTAAACATATACATTTTTTTGAACCAAACTTCCACCTCTAGTAATTTATCCTATGGGAATATTTTAGCGTTAAGGATGTTCAGTGCAATGTTGTTTACAGTAATGAAAAATTGTCCAACAATTGAGGGCTGATTAAATAAACTGTATGCTTTCACAAATCAGATATATAATAATTAAAAATTATGTTGTAGAAGCAAGCTTCTCAAATAGCACTACTATGGAGAATGAATGGTCATTTGCCAAGGGATATGATATGTGAGGCCATAGGACAAACAGCTCTTCTTCCTCAAGTATGAATTTTCTTAGTGATTTGGGAGTGAGCCAGATACTACTGGTTACCGATCCCAGCATCCATTCTCGCTTTCTTCCCCAGTAACAAAACTCTGATCTGTAGTGTGGGATGCTGATGCTCAAAATAAGACTACATTTCCCCCATCTCTGCTGTAGCTAGGCGTGGCTTTAGGAGAAAACGCAAAGCAATGAATTATTAGTGAAGTGTTATGAGAGGCCTCCAGGAAGACTACCTTGATGGAGCCGACTCAACGTGGGTGAGGATAAGGAGCGGGCATTTAGCTACTTTCCATACTTAAAAGCTTCTGCTCAGTTTAAAACAAATTTTTAAAAATTACTATTAAAGTCAAAGCGAACACAAAAAGTTCAAATGTCTGGCTAATTCTAATTTGAGGAGTGTAGGAACAGACGAAAAAGAGGTAGGATGTGGGAAGAGGATGGTTGTTTTATTTCTGAGAGAACCTTGGACATGCAATGCTGATTTTCCTCTATGATTAAGTCGAGTATGAAAAGGCTGACAAGGCTTGTACAAATTGCTTGTGGCAGACACTTCTTTTTGTCTTTTCACTGTGCCCATGAGAAAGTCTTCTAGCTAAAACAAGAACAGGTGTGGGGCTATCTTCTCACCTTATAGAACCCAAGATTCCCGCCCTACTCCTCCTCCTGAATTTGCCTAGGATCTAATATGCAGGGTTTCAGGATTTAGAAACGGTGCACGTGGATTTCTCTCTCTGGCATCTGAAAACCTACACTTGTCTAAATCTTGTACAAAGTGGCCCTAATGCTGTTATTTACTTAAAATTTGACGGGAGAACAGCGATGGCCCCTGGGCCAGACTGGCGGAGATGACGCTCGCTGGGTACCCATCCCGAGAGTCGGGGGCGGTGCGAGTCTGGGCCCCGCCCCTATGCGAAGCCAATCGTTCGGGGCAGGAGCGGGAGGGGCGTGGCGGGCCCTGCAGGCAAAGCCGTGATTGGCATGCAGGCTCCCGCTGCCCGCGAGGCAGCCCGGACGTCTAGCTTACAAGAACCCCAGGCGAGTGCGGACCTACAAAGTTTGTCCACTTCGGGGCACCGTAGTGGCTTTCGCCCCGGCGGGGTGGGCTGGGCTCCGCTGGGCTGGGCTGGGCTGAGCTAGGCGGCCGCAGCCGGGCTCAGTCCCGGGGAGCCCCTGATGGCTGCGGTCTTTCTGGTAACGCTCTATGAGTACTCGCCGCTTTTCTACATCGCGGTGGTCTTTACCTGCTTCATCGTGACCACCGGTCTGGTACTAGGATGGTGAGTGTCCGAGGTAGGGGCACGGGACGAAGGGGCGGAGAGCCGGGGACTGATGTCACGGTGAGCAGCAGGGGACACAGGAATAAGGGGGTCACGGGGCTGAGGCGCCTGAGGCCATTTGGGAGTCTGTGCTGAGGGCTCCTACGGCTCTGGGAGGAAAACAGGGTGGACACCGCACCTGCGTCACTGTCCTGCATCACCGTCCTGTCCCCGTTGCTGCGGGCATCAGGGGGTGTTACCGGATTGGGGTATTTTACCCAGCTTTGTTTCTAGGTGATAAAACAGCCAGGAAGGGCCTGGTCTTGGTGTTGGGATAAAGTGCTTGTCCAGCAGGCTTCTGTCCCTGATTGGGGCCTACTGTGTGTCTAGGGTATATCGGTCACCTGGGGTACGGTGCGCAGACGTGTACAGTGAACGAGATTAATTGTGTTTCTGACCAGAACTGAGCACTTGGTCTCAGATCTTTCAGCATGACTTATGACTGAACTCTGTTACTGTTTGAGAATTTAATGGTTTCTACATACATTCCACACCTTTGGAAGTAATATTTAGTCTATAGAACTATAAAATCATAACTTCAGAGCTGGAAGTGACATTAGAAATAAGTTACACTGAAGGGGTAGAGGCAATCTACCTGTTGAAGACACGGAGAATGGACTGTTATATAACCCTTGAACAATTCTAGCCCAGAGATTCTACAATTTCTCTGTGAGGAGATGTAACTGTATCCTGTTTAGCTAAGCCTTATAAATACAGCTAGTTGAAACCATGTCATTGTTCGCAACAGTTTTTTTTTTCTAGGCTGCAGCCTACAAAGTCTCTTTGAGAAGATGGTGGTTCCAAATAGATCAAACGGTAGTTCTAAGTGGTAACAGCCATGACCTGAGGAGGTCAGAGAGAACTCTGTTGATGAGAAAGACATGAACTGGATTTTGCAGAATGAGTATTTTGAAAAATAAATGGAGTCGAATGTGTATAGCAGAGAAGAGAGAGCATTTCAGAATACAGCATGAACAGAGGGGCAGAGGAGAACATGTTAGTGAATAAAACAGGCTGTGTAAAATGAGTTTAAAAATACCCTTAGATCACATATATGTGATTACTTTTTAAAAAGGACGTAGGCCCTTATGGGTTTCTGAAATATGCCATCTTTAAGGATCTAACCAAAGTTTTAACATTTCCACACTGCTCCCCACCCTCCCAGCAGTAGAGCATAAAGTTCCTTATATGTGGATGGGAGAAGATGAGATCAATCTTACACAATTTGTTATTCTTGATCTATCAAATTTTATTGCTATTATTCATTCCAGAAAGTTTGTAATTGGAATTAGGAAGGTGTTGCCCAAGTGAGAAAAGTGGTCTTGTCACAGGATTTTTAAATGACTATAATGTTAGTGTTATTCTTTTAGAGAAACATAACTTTCCTCCCCTAAGGAAAATAGGTAATTAGTTAATAATTGCATTATATGCTTAAATTTGTATTTTAAATACGCCAACTGAGATATCTTAGCTATCCATCTTTAGCATTGGGAACAAGAAAATGTGTGAAATCCATATCAATAATGATGCTGGCATCTGTGGGTGAAGGGTAGTCAAGAGCCTCATGTTTGTAGTTGTTAAGAGATAAGACTTTGGAGTCAGACAGAAATGGGTTCAAATCCTGGCTCTGCCAGTTTTAAGACTTGGTTTGAAAATTTAATGATTGCCTTTTAGGTATGGCTTTTACAGGGGTGGAAGCTCGGGTAATTATAGAACTTTTGGAAGGTTAGACTAAGCACTGCTGAGGCCATAAGATCAGGTAAATGCCAGTCACTTCCATCCTGATTTGGACCTAACTCAACAATTTTTTACATCTGGGTTAACTTTGCCTGTGGAGATAAAATTTTTACTATGTTTATTTGTAAGCCTAAGTTAAGGCCACAGATTTATTGACTAGAAGCAATGAAAACTTGGACACCATCTGGATCTTCTAAAAACATCTTTCTAATAGTACCCCAGCCAGAAGGGTAAACTAGTTAATTCACCATGATTTTCTCTCTTGTCATTGTTTGTTTGTATTTTTAACCTCCCAAAGTACAAGCCCTAAAGTCATCTGTTTACTCTGGCATGGTTCTTACCTCAATACTGCTCTTGGTTTCTTTCCCCTTGCTCCTTTCCACTGCTCTCTGTGTCCACCTGCACTGTGAGGAGTGGAGAAAAAAAGGGAGTATCTGATTATTGGAATCCCAATAGCAGTAGCAAAGAATCACACAACTGGAAGTATGGAAGTATGGTATGTGGTGCTTTCTGTGAGCTCTAATAGTGCCTGCCAGGTACTGTGTGGAAAGGAGCCCCAAATGCCATATATATTCTTTAACAGTTTCACATCATCAGGGACCCTGACTCAGCCACTGCTCTCTGCCTCCTCTTGACTATGGGTTATTAAGCTGCTGTCTCTCAACTTCATACCACCTTTATATACTCTGCTTTGTGAATCTGAGACAGAACTCTAAAATCACATTTCTTCTTTGCTAGCTGGCTGCATACAGGCTTTACCAATAAGGGAGGGAGACTGGAAGGCTAAAAGAGGACGAAGGGACTTGCTGGTTCCTATTAGATTCCCTTTCTTGTCTGTCTTACCACATCAATAGTCCTCATTCTGGCAGCAACAGGTGGTCCCAGTTGTTCCAGTTTATAATTTTCTGCTCTCCTAGAACCAGAATCATTGCATCTCTTAAAGATAAGTATCCTTTCCTCAGACTTGAGTCCCAGCCCCATGGGGTCTCTCCTCCAAATTTCTAAAGTGTAGTAATTCTCTTTCCTTTATTCCCTTGTCCTAGGAGTGATAGCTGCTTCCTGCCATTACTACTTCTTTGATACTCAGTGTCCCCTTTTAGTCTTTTCAATTCTTCAACATCTGGGTAACTTTTTTTAAATTTTAATACTCTGTTAAAATAACTGGTGTGGTTTTGGTCTCCTAACTAGACCCTGACCAATAAGGAAATTGTTACTAAGAATGGAATCAGGGGAGGGGGAACTCTTAAAGATAGGATTTGGGGATTGGTTTGGTTATTTCTTAGCTCCTTGCCAATGAGAAATAAGTTTCTAATAATCCATGGCATGTAGTGGCATCACAATTAAACAAATAACTACCTTTCGTTGACTGCGATAAAATGATTTTTGAAGCAGCACCTTGTGGGGACCAAGTGGCTAAAGCACTTGACTGTTATGGCAGTAATGAAGACTACAAAGACTGAGGAGGGGCAAGATTGTTGCTTCGGAGGTCACTGGAGCACTTACAGAAAGAAAATGACAAGTTCAGGTCTTTAAACTCTCATATCAAGTCTTAGAGAATCAGAGTTTCTGTGGTCCTGAAGCACTTTATCTTTTGTAGCCAAAGAGCCAGCCTTGCTAAAAATTGAACAGTGTTAATTGTGCTGGTAATAGAATTACACAGCCTTGTTAATGTCTCATTTAGACATTGATTGGACAGAAATAAAATCCTGAGACTTGGAGTGGGGGACATCTAGATAGACATGGACAAAGCTAAGAATCTTGAAACCCCAGTCACTCTGAGCCTTCCTTGTTGATGAAAGCAGCTTGTCTTCCACGTGTGAGAAAACTAGCCTTCCCTTGCCCGAAAATCCTATAATAACCACACCTAGAGCATCTGCTTTGTAAATGGATATCCATACTGAAGACCTACTTCTATTACCTCTCACCATGAGACATGCTCCACAGGACAGGAACAAAATCTGACCTGGTTAGAAATAGCCTGTATTCCAAAATAACTGCAAAATTTTGCTAATTTGTATCTGCAGGAACCTGGAGAACATGTGTGAGAATGGATTGGAAGTATGTTAAGCCAAGGAGGATAGAATGTAACACTAGATCAGATCAGATTTATTGGTCTGGGTATATTCTCAAGAAATTTTGGATCTAAAGTGTTAACTCATACTTGTTTGGTTGACTGAAACTTGGACTCAGTATTGGCCTGTGTTTAATAAGGGTGAGATGTTTAGTGCTTTTAAATTTCCCTACAAGTACTGCTTTGTCTGCGTCCCACAAATTTTGATATATATGTTTTCATTTTTATTCAGTTCATAATTTTTAAAAATTTCCATTATGATTTCTTCTTGATCTCTGGGTTATTTAGAAGTTTGTTATATAGTTTGAAAATATTTGGGAATTTTTAAGATATCTTTCTGTTGTTAATTTATAATTTGATTCCATTGTGATCAGAGACCACACATTTTGATTTGACTTGCAAATTTATTGAGACTTGTTTTGTAGATCAGAATATGATCTCGCTTTCATAAATGTCCTGGTGTGCTTAAAAAGAATATATATTCTACTATTGTTGGTTGAGATGTTCTATAAGGGCTAATGAGGTCAAGTTGCTTGATAGTGTTATTGAAGTCTTTGATATCCTCACTGATTTTCTATCTACCGGTGCTACCAATTATTGAGATGATGAGGAGAACTGAGATCTCTTCCTATAATTGTGGATTTGTCTATTTCTGTTTATAGCTTTATCAGTTTTTGCTTCATATTTTGAAGTTCTATTAATAGGTGCATAAACATTTTGGATTATTATGTCTGTATGATGAATTGATCCCTATATCATTATGAACATCTTTACTTCTAAGAATAGTCTTTGCTCTGAGATCTACTTTGGTATTAACATAGCTACTCCAGCTTTTTTTGATTAGTATTAGCAGGTGTATCTTTTTCCATCCTTTTACTTGTAATCTATTTTTGTCTTTATATTTATTTATTTATTTATTTTTCGTGACCGGTTAGGGGATCGCAACCCTTGGCTTGGTGTCACCCACATGGCGCTCAGCCAGTGAGCGCACCAGCCATCCCTATATATAGGATCTGAACCCGCAGCGTGAGCGCTCCTGCGCTCCCAGCACGGCACTCTCCTGAGTGAGCCACGGGGTCGGCTCTTAGATCGCAACCCTTGGCTTGGTGTCACCCGCATGGCGCTCAGCCAGTGAGCGCACCAGCCATCCCTATATATAGGATCTGAACCCGCGGCGTGAGCGCTCCTGCGCTCCCAGCACGGCACTCTCCTGAGTGAGCCACGGGGTCGGCTCTTGTCTTTATATTTAAATTGGGTTTTTTGTATGCAGCATATGCATAGATGGGTCTTATGCTTTATCCAATCTGCTAATCTTTGCCTTTAGCAAAGGCAAAACGTAAATCATTTATGTTTAATGTGAGTATTGATATGATTGGATTTAAATCCACCATTTTGCTATTGGTTTTCTATTTGCCCCATCTCTTTGTTGTTCCTTTTTCTTTCTTGTTGAAGCCTTCATTTCCATTAGTTAAATAATCTATGTGATTCCATTTTATCTCCTTTGTTGGTTTATTAGTAATAACTTACTTTAGTGATTGCTTGGTCTATGTATATTCTCAAGAAATTTTGTATCTAGAGTGTTAACTCATATTTCTTTGGTTCGCTGAAGCTTGGACTCAGTGTTTGGGTTTGTAGTATACCTCTAACTTATTATAGTCTACATTCGTCAAGAAATTTTGTATCTAGAGTGTTAACTCATATTTCTTTGGTTCACTGAAGCTTGGACTCAGTGTTTGGGTTTGTAGTATACCTCTAACTTATTATAGTCTACATTCAAGTAATATTTTGAAGATATTTAAATAAGAAAAACATTATATTTCTCCACATAGTTAGCATTTTAGTGTTCAAATGCTTTATCTGTCCTCTGTCTGTCCCCTGCAGACTTCAGTTACATATGTATTATACTATTTGAAGTTGTCTCTTGGCTCACTGATGTTTGTTTTTGTTCAGTCTTCTTTTCCTCTCTGTTTCATTTTAGGTACTTTCTATTGCATTGTTTTCAGGTTTTCTAATCTTTTGTTCTGCAGTGTCTAATCTGCTCTTAATCTCATCCAGTGTGTTTTTGTCTCTAGAAATTGATTTGGGTCTTTTTTCTATCTTATATGTCTCTATATAATATGTTCGATCTTTCCTTATCTTCTTGAACATATGGAATATAGTTATAACAGCTATTTTGATGTCTTTGTCTACTCATTCTAGTATCTTTATCATTTCTGGATCTATTTCTATAGATTAGTTTCTCTCCTAATTATCAGTCATATTTTCCTGCTTCTTTGCAGGCCTGTTAATTTTTTATTGGATGCTAAACATTGTAAATTTTACCTTATTGGGTGCTAGATATTTTTGTATTCATACAGATATTCTTGAGCTTATTTCTGGGTCACAGTTAAGTTACTTGTAAACAGTTTGATGTGTTACAGGCTTGCTTTTCAGCTTTGATGGGCAGGACCAGAGCAGCCTTATCCAACTGTATTACTTTAATTATAAAATTAATTCATCTAAGTTGAATTTTTACTCCATTTGTCAATCTATTGGCTTTTTCTCAGCATTAGATTTATTCATGTCTTTTGAAGTTTTAGTTTGTAATCTAAATTTTAGTGGAAGGTTTTTGTTTGTTTTGTTCTTTTTCTCCCTTTGTCATCATCCTCATTGTTGAGACATTTTATAATTGCCTACACTCAGATTCCTAGACCTCTGGTCCAGAACCAGGTCTTATAATAACAGTTCTGTCTCATATTGATATTGGTCTAACCCAGTTCTTGGTTTCAGGTTGTGAACCTGGCTCTGGCCCTTGTCTTCAGTGGACCACCTCTACTGGCCTCTTTATTACATGAAAGGCTTAGTTGCCATTTCTTGCTACCAGGCTCAGAACCCACCAAATCATGGCATCAGCCGTACTCATTACTTTGTTTCTTTCCCTTTTCAGACTTGTAAAGGAATCTGTCTTTAAACACAGCTATATCTCTTTTTTTCCCCCAACCTTTTTCCTATAAAAATTTTCAAACATATGAAACACTGGAAAGAATTATACTACAGTGAACACACATTTGCCCATCACTTAGATTCTACCATCAACATTTTACTATAATCTCTTTACTACTATCTGTCTATTTATCCATCCTTCTGTCTACCAATCAGTCATCTTATTTCGTGATCCACTTCAAAGTAAGTTGTACTCTTCATCTGTAAACACTAAAGTATTGTGTATTATTGGCTGGAGTTCAATGTTTGTTTTTGTTTGTAGTTCTTTTTTTTTCTTTTGAAGTAATACTTATATACAATGAAATGTACAAATCTTAAGTGTACCATTTGCAGAGTGTTACCAAACACATCATCTATACAACTCAAACCTCTATTAAGATCTAGAACATTACCATTGCCACAGAAATTTACCTTATGGCCTTTCCCAGTCAATTCCTACGTCTGCCCTCCCAAAAGCAATCATTGTTGTCTTTTTTATTTCTACCATAGATTAGTTTTGCCCACCCTGGTATTTCATATTAGGGAGGCTTCTTTCATACAGCATGATGTTTTTTAAATTTATCCATGTGATTATAGCAATAAGTCATTCCTTTTCAGTGCTGAGTACCACTATTCCTTTGTTTAAATCCACAGTTTGTTTATTCATTTCAGCTGGGACTTTTTGTCTTTTCTTTTTATCTATCACTGCTATGTGTTTGGAGAGAAGGGAGCGCATCAAACTGCAATCCCCTAACTTAACTGGTGTATATTCATTTTAGGTTATTTTATGCAAACTGAGTAAATTTAGCTCATTTTAAATTTTACTAGGAATTTGAGTTTAGTCTCTTTCATTTTACTTTTAAGTCTATTCAATGTGCATTGTAGGAGTTAACATTTTTACATGAAATTTAGAAGTAGAAAATACATTATGTAAGTGAAGGGCTATATTTGGTATTTTAAAAGTTCTTGTTCCAGAAAATCATATCAGGTAGTCTGTATATTATATATGTATTCGTTTTTCATATATTTTTAAAAATTCAATAATTCTATTATGTTTTTACTGTTATAGTAAATATCATTTATCTATAATCACTATGCTCCTTTGTTGTTATTAACAATAATATTAACAGTAGAACTTTCTTTTCAAGATTATGTCAATTCATCCAGCTGAAAAATATATTGCACTTTTGAGGGATCTCTAATTTCCCTTAATTGTAGATTAATTCTGCAATATAATGTAAATTGAGTAAAGCCTCTTTTTCTGGTACTTATGTTAAAGGGAATAGCTAATGAAGCACAACCTACTTTACATATAACAAAGTTTCAGCATTTTTTAAGATATGTTTTATTTTATTTTTACCTTTCTTCAGGTTTGGTTGGGATGTTCCAGTAATTCTGAGAAATTCAGAAGAGACCCAGTTCAGCACAAGAGTTTTCAAAAAGCAAATGAGACAAGTCAAGAATCCTTTTGGTTTAGAGATCACGAATCCATCTTCAGCTTCAATTACAAGTTGGTGGCTATTTTCCAAAGATTTTCCCTCATCGTATGCCCCTTTTTTAGCCGTTTTATTTTCTTTATTGTTTTCTCTTTATTGGGCTTTTAAAAAACATTTATTGAGCACCTGTTTTGCTCCAGGGACTGGATTGCATACTGCAGATACAAAGACTAAGAATTCACAAGCCTTGCTCCTAGGGAACTTATCAACCAGTAAACAGGCAGATATGTGTACAAATGAGAGTAATAAAGTATTACTGGTATTAAATGGAGAGAAGTCTGTTAGGACACTGTGCCGTTTTCATTAGTCTTTAGTGAAGTGAGAGATGTAAGGGTGGTGTAGTATGTCTAAGTACAGTTAATGTAAGGTTGCCAACCTTCTGCAGAACAACTGTCTTTTCATTTGAAATTATGTTATTTTGGTATAAATTATTTTGGAATAAAATGTTATTTTTGTAGACGGTAATTATAGATGGCAGTTTGTTTCTTTACTTGGAAAAATAAATTGTCTGTAGGAACATCTAGGAACCATTGGAATGAAATATAGAGAGAAGTGGTTAAGTTTGCTAAGGTGTTAACTTTGCTTCGTACTGCTGTAACAAAATATCGTAGACTGGGTAATTTATAAACAACAGAAATTTATTTCTCACAGCTTCGGAGGCTGGAAAATGCAAGGTCAAGGTACAGGCAGGTTCAGTGTCTGGTTAGGGACGTGGTCTCTGCTTCCGAGACCATTGTTGCTGCATCCTCTGGAGGGGAAGAAAACTGTGTTCTCATGTGGCAGAGGTGGAAAGGCAAGAGAGCCCAACACTGTGTGAAGCCTTTTTTTTATAAGAGCCTTAATCCCATTCACAAGGGAGATACCCTCATGACATAATCACCTCTTAAAGGTCCTACTTCATAATACCATTACATTAGCTGTTAAGTTTCAATACCTGAATTTTTGAGGGGACACATTGAAACCATAGCCGGTGGGGAGGCATATTCTAGAAAGGCTTCATAAAAGAAGAGTATGCTAAGTCTCTTATTTTTCTTTTCTTCCTTCCTGTTTTTTTTTTTTTTAGTAGAGTCTTTAAAAATAAGCAAGTGTTTACCTCTTGAGCTTGAGGGAAAATCTAAGTAGAGAGAGAAGCAGGAACAAAGCACTGAGATAGATGAGAAACAGAATAATACATTAGAGAAACAATAAGGAGTTTGTTATGGACAAAGCACAGGGTGCAACAGGTAAGAGAGAAGAGTCTAGTAAGACTCACGTTCTCAGGATCCTCCATAGGCAGATCCTGTTACCCAGATAAGGAATGCAGGAGGAATAGCAGGTTTTAGAAGAAGGGTAATGAGTTTAGTTTTAAACTTCTGGACTTCAAAGTGCTTTTGTGACAGTTGAATAGAGATGATGCATAGGCAGTTCTAGATACAGTTCTTAGCTCTTCAGAGATTTCTGAGATGAGTCCTTATCACCTTTTATACTTGCTCACATTTCAGGTATTTTAAACATAAGCAAACTAAATCTTTCTCAGCTTTTCTTCTTACTCTAGCTGCTGCCCTACTTCTCTTCCCTTCACAGCCAGCTTCTGAAAAGCTGTTTGCATTTGCCTTCTCTTCTTAGCCTGCTTGCCTTCTACTGCTCAGTGCAGTGCAGTCCGACTTTTGCCTGCTTCTTTCTACTCAGGTGACTTTCTCCCAGATCACTGGCAGTCTTCAGATCCAGTGGAAGCTTTCCAGGCCTGAGTGAGTGCTCTGTCTGAAGTGTTTCACAGACTTGACCCGTCCTTCTGACCTCATAGCTTGCTCCCTTGGTTTCTGTAGACCATTCATGTCTACTCATCCCTCCTGCCTCTAACTTCCAGAATATAATCACTTGTCAAAAGTCAGTTCACTTAGTCAGTATGGATCATCAACCTTAAATCTTGATTTATGAAGGAAAAAGTACAAAATTTCTTACTCTTTCTCCTTAGCTGTCAATACTTAGCCCTATGAATTGAAGGTAACTAGGACCTTTTTTTCCTCAAATAGTGGATAAGAGTTTTCATTCTGACATTTTTCACTTGGGAAAACCAAATTTTAAGATATGACATGGAGAAACTAATTTGTTTAGAAGATGGTAAGTTGTGCATGACTGATTGAAATGTACAGTATAGTGGTGGTTCAGTGACCTCTGACTTCTGTGGCCATGGACTTGAACCTGTTACAATGACATATCTGGCTCTGGAGCAGGACTGCCATTAAAAAAAGTCTTCCCGCACAAGACTGTTCTTCCTGTAGTACAGTTCCACAAGCCTGGAAATGCACTGAAAAAGTAAGAAGAGCTAATACATTGTATACAAAACACAGGGCACCTGTCAGCTAGAATGTGTGAGACAATCCATCAATCTGCCTTTCAGGCAGAAATACGGATAGTCAGAAGCCAATCCTGCAAATGTTTGAAGCAAATGAAAAGATAGCCTGTAAATGAGATCTCTCACTATGCCTACACACTAGGTGCTAGCCAACAGTAGCATTACTCAAATACATGAAAAAATTTTAAATGTGTGGACTTACAACATGATTAATTTTGGTAATCATATTGTAATTTAAAAAATACCAATGCATATCACTCATTATCCGTCTTCTATGGGGAAGTAAAGAGAAGGATTTTGGTGGAAGTTGTGCTCAGCAGAATATAATTTGTTTGTTTAAACTGTGGAAAAGTGATGTCATTAAAGATGTCGACACAGGACATTGAAATAATATTGTGTCAATATTTGTGATATTTTAAAAGGTTATTTCATTTGATTTATAGGTAGTTTAAAAATAGTTATCAGCACTATGCTCTCCCAAGTTAGAGACATACTATTTGAAAGTTTGGTTAAAACCCAATTTGTAGTGGTCTCTGATGCTCTCCCCAAATGTACATATGTAAAGTCTATAAACAAGTCTTTCATGCAGCTCTGAATGGAACTCTGATTCTTTTTTTTTTTTTAAAAAAATCATTTATTTTAATTGTACATTTTGTGGGGTACAGTTTGCTGTTTCAATACATGCATATATTGTATAATGATCCAGTCAGAATAGTTAGCATATCCATCACCTAAACGTTTATCATTTCTTTGTGGTTACAACATTCAAGATCTTCTTTCCTGGCTATGATGAAATATGCAATACAGTATTATTAGCTATTGTCACCCTAGAGCACCAGAACTTATTCTTCATATCTAATTGTAACTTTGTATCTGTTGATCAACCTCTCCCCAACCCCTCCCCTCCCCTTCCCAGCTTCTAGTAACCACTATTCTACTTTCTATTTATTTCTATGAGAACAACTTTTTTAGATTCCACATGTGAGCTCTTATTTTTTTTTTAAAAAAAGCAAATGAACTGTGTAGTTTTATATATTCTGTAAGTTAATTTTTTTAAAGGTTTATATTCCTATTTTTTAAAAAAATATAAACAAACACATATATATGGGTTTCCTGTCTTCTGAGATAAACAGTAGCATATGCATGATATGTACTTTTCTTCACCTTGTTTTTTTTCGTTTAGCAATGTATCCTGAAGATCATTACATAATAATACATACAGATATTCTGATATGCTTCAATTCATTTTTAATAGCTGCATAGTATTTCATTGTAGAGTACCGTATTTCATTCATTTAATCCCCTGTTGGTGGGCATTTGGGTTGATTCTAGCATTTTGCTATGATAACTAGTGCTACAGTGAATAGCCTCATACATACATCTTTTTTACATTTTTGCCAGTAATATAATAATATTATGTAATCATTTTCTGCATTTTGTTTTCTTTCTTCTTCCACTTTTTCTCATATGCTTTTTCTATTTTTCCGTTCCCTATCTACCTTCAACTTTTTTCTCCTTCCTCATGTTGTATGGTTCTAAAGTGACATAGAGAAGAATATGTGATTTTACATATATGTGTAGATGTATGTGTGTTTGTATATAAAAACTTGTATTACTGGAGAATTTTTCTTCAGCCATTTAATAACAAATGAAATTTTCCATTCTTGAATTAATACTTGATGATTGGAATCGTAGACAAATTTGAAATCAAATTTTGCTCCAATTACCTATGCAAAGTTCTACTGATTAAAATTTTAGCTGAACCATGGTTAGAACTGGCCCAGTGCCACTGCTGCTACACATACTCAGAATCTCAGACTCTGTGTACATACTATTAAATACTGAGAAGAAAAGAAAAAATATCAATCAGTTTTTGGTATCCTATGGAGTATCTGCTTGTATTTGTGTATTTCCTTTAAGCACATACTCTTGATCACATTTAAAAGCATAGGTAATGTATAGTCAGAATTCCTATTAGCAAGCAACAGAAACAACTTTAGTGAAAGAATATTGGATAGCTTACAGAATTGCTGGTAGGTTTGGAGAGCCAGAATCAGAAACCAAGGCTGTTTAGCCAGGAACAGTGACCAATACCATGCCCTTTGATCTAGTCAGTACACCACTGCCAAGCAGTACTAAATGTTGCAGCTTGCACTGCCAGCAGTGTGAGACACTGGATGTCATTACCCTTGAACTTGATATTGCTACAAATGCAACTAGCAAGGGGGAAAGGATCACATAGGTGGCACTTAGTAAGTTCTTTGTAAGTGTTAAATAAGTAAAACTATATAATTTATATGTCCACTTATAATTTAGATGTCCACATAATCAGATCTACTCAAATTGCAATATCTTTTCTTATGTCAAAAGTAAACAAATGAATGATTGCTATTGAACCCTCCATGTTTTGGAACCCCCACTCTTTCCTCAGGATATTTTACATATCACATGGCACATTAACTGCATGACAAGACTGTATATTAATGTTGTCAATGTATATATAAATGTTAGTAAAGCTCAATTTTTTAAAAATATTTTTCTTACTCCAGTAATCATTTCGTGGATCCCATGGGTTGTGTGTATCTACTTTTGGAGACAGCTCTATTCTGCTGTACTGTTTCTTATAGTTAGTATTATATACACTATGAGAGTGCTAGGTTATCAATAATTAACTGTGTATTTTAGTTTTTAAAGTCTATGTGGGAAAAGTCTTGGAGTCACCAAGAAAGAAAATTAAATAATAATTTCTAAGCTTAAATGTGTAAATAGAGTTTATTGATAGCCCTAAAAAATTGTGCAGACATTGAGATTTTTGTATCTCTTGTTATAGAAGCCTATTCCTTCATTTATAGGTGTACACCCTTTAACAAGTTCTTTTAGCCTGGCCAGCATCCAAAAGGAAGATTTTGCTACTCACCATCTATAATTGTATTAGAAGTTACTTTAGGTAATTTTCTTTCTCTTTCTCATTTGTTTTCTATAGCGGGCATAACCTTGACAACAGATTGCCTTGAAGATAGCTTCCTTACATGCTACTGGGGGTGCAGTGTTCAAAAATTATATGAAGCTCTGCAGAAGCATGTTTATTGCTTCAGAATAAGTACTCCTCAAGCATTAGAAGATGCTCTGTATAGCGAATATCTCTATCAAGAGCAGTATTTGTATCCTTTTATCTGATACACCCATTAGCACATGAAAATTAGACTTTTTATAGGTAAAATAAAGTGCTGCTAAGTAACTACTTATCATTTTTGGTATATTTTTGTTCTTTTGGTTATAGTGACAATTTACCTTTACATTTTCAAAAAGTATTAAGAAGGATAGCAAAGAAGAAATATATTGCCAATTACCAAGAGATACTAAAATTGAAGACTTTGGTACAGTGCCCAGATCTCGCTATCCATTGGTAGCACTGTTGACCTTAGCTGATGAAGATGACCGGGAAATTTATGATATTGTAAGTAATTGAAAATTTCTGAAAGCATTACCTTAAAGTTACTTGGATGGTAGTTTTTAATTATTTGTGAAATAGGAGAAGTTTTAATTTCTGAGTATATACTTTTGGCCTGGACACATTTTTCTTGAAAAATGAATATGTATGTTGTATACCCGTCTTATTTTTATACATGTCAGCACCTTAAAAGTATGACATATTTTTTCCTTATTGGTCACAAGAATATGACTTTATTTAGAAAGTAACAGATATATTATGGTTGAATTAAGTTAGTTTCATCATTCCATATACATTGTCACGTTTGTTATATAGAATAGGAAGCATGTTCTTAACATTTTTAGCACTGAATAAATAAGCATCATAGTGATCTAAAGTGCTCAATTTTAGGAAAGTATCAGCTCTTTTCTTTGCATATACATAAGTCATAGCCCCTGCTGCACCTACATATTATATGTCTGGTCCTTTTCAGTAATTACAGTAATCTCATTTTCTCATTATGTGCTGATTATTTTTTTTAGTCTAGTGCTACTTATGTATAAAATAAACTTTTGGTAAAATTATATCATGGTAAAAATGCCCTTATACACAATTTACTACTTTTCTGAAGTGCTTGATATAGAAGTTTATTAATAAAGATATGGTAACATTTTTTATGATACTTTGTAATATACAAAGTACATTCACTAACAATAACTTTTTTCCTTCCAACAACCTAGTATTTTAGGCAGGGTAAATATCCTCCTTATATAGACAGAAGCAGAGTCAAGAAAATTCCAGTCTTTCAGGGCTTGACTCTGAGCCTTTGTGGACCTGCACCAGTCACTCCCTGCTCTCCCCGCCTTTTTTTTTTTTTCTTTTTTTAGCAGGAATATCTCCCTGAAATAAATGTGCATTGAGCTTTAGAAGGTGCAGGCTCTTATAGGGAAATCTAGATCCTGCTCATTGGCAGCTAAGCCTCTCTTGTTTTTTGGTTTTTTAAATATTACCAAAGTGAAGTTCCATTGAGCTGAACTCAGGTTGTTTTTTCTGTTATGGGAGGAGAGGAGGGGCAGAAGGAAATGGGGAGATGTAGGTCATAGGAGACAAAGTTGCAGATAGGTAGGATGAAGAAGTCTAGACATCTAATGTGAAGACTGTAGTTAATATTATATTGGGGATTTTTGCTAAAAGAGTAGATTTTATGTACTCTCGCCACATACACAATAAAGGAGGGGGTAACTATGTGAGAGGATGGATATGTTAATTTGCCTGACTATAGTAACCATTTCACTAAGTATGCATACATCTAAACATCATATTGTACACCTTAAATATATACAATTTTAAAAAAGCGTATCAAAAGTAGTATATTTCCGTTACATAGCACAGTTCCTGGAACACAGAATGTGTTCAATAAAGGTTTAAGTAAAAAAAAGAAAAGAAGAAAAGACATACTGAGCGATGTTAGTGAGCCTCAGAGCTTGACTGCAGTTTCTTAGTTGCATATGAAGACTGTGACTACTGTGGCCCGGCTGTAGTTGTGGAGTTTATTCCCACAGGGGAGCCTGAGTGCCTGGCTCCCAAGAGTTAACAGCCGTTTTCTCTTGTCCTTTGTGTATGTCTCCCTGTCTGGGTCCTTTTCTGTGTCTTTTATTCTTCTTGTCTGTAGACTCCTTGCATTTTTCCTGTTAATCCTTGCTTCTCTTGTCTTTTATCTCTCAGTTTGGGGCTAATATTGGAACTAAAGCATATTTGTTAGTATATTTTGTGTTAATGTTCTCTATTCGTAATTTTAAAAGCAAACAGAACATTTCATATTTCTTTGTCATGTGTGGTTTTTCAGTATTTTGTCTGGGGGTCAGGGATTCTAAATTAAAAAAAGAAAAATCAAATTCCCATTCCTATTGTAACAGTAAAGAATTAAAATTAGATACAATTAGGAACCAGTTTGTTGTTTTACATAGATAAAGGGAAGCAGGAATTGTTATTGCAGGATTTTTACTTTAAAATTTTTTCATTTTTACATAATTGCATTAGTTTATTTTCCCCGTATTATTCAAATAACACATGTGTGTGGCAGGAAAAATATTAGAAAATCTAGATAAGCCAAAAGTAGAAAAGTATAATCACCTATATTTTATCATCCAAAGATAACCACTGAATATTTGTATCTTTCCAGATCTTTATATATGTAATTTTTTTAAAAGAATCAACCCTTTTTGGAAATCAGAACATTCTCATTTTGTCTGATGTTTCCTCATGATCAAGTCAAAGTTATGTATTTGCAGCTAGTGAGCTGCACAGACGATGGCATGTCCTTTTCAGGGTGCCACCTCTAAAAGCTTGTGATGTTCTTTTCTCTTATTGGTGATATTAATTTTGATCTCTCAGTCAAGGTGTTACCTAATTTCTCCACTGTTCTGGTTTTTGTTTCCCTTGGTCTGTAGGGAGGCACTTAAGACCATGCAAATATCCTTCTTTTCATAAAAATCTTTTCCTGGATTTCACATCCATTGATGATTCTTGTCAGATTTTATCTTTACCGTGATGGATGCAAAATGATTATTTTTCCAACTCCAGCTCTCCCGCCATTCAGTCCTTGGCAAGAGACTTCCCTTCTCTCCCATTTGTTTGTCTGTCTGTTATCTCTATGGCCTCATGAATTTCTTTTTTTCCCCAGTGGTTTATAATTCTTTACTGAATTTAATTATTTTGGTGTTCATACTGCCCTGTTCCTGTTTCCTCTGAAGACTGAGAGTTTATGGTCAAACTGTATCCATAAATTATTTGAATTAGTTCTCTCAAAAGTCAGAAAACTATATAAAGAGAGATACTCAGATGTTGTTCTCTTCCATATCCCTTCTACTCCATTCCCACACACCCCAATTCTTGTAGATAACCAGTGTTTTCTGGTTTATCTGCCCTGTGCTTCTTATTTTCCCTTCTCTCACACAAAAGGTAGCACACTATCTATGCTGTACACTCTTGTACTTTGATTTTTTTCACTTCGTATTAGCTCCTGGAAATCACTCCAGTCGGTTTGCAGAGGTCTTCCTCGTGCTTTTTGTTTTGTTTTGCATAGCACTCCATTCTGTCTGTGGTATGCACGTACCATATGTATTCAACCAATCTCCTGTGTTTGGACATTCAGGTAACATTTCCAGTAATAAATGATCTTATACTGAATAACCTGTGTGTATGTATCTTAATATTGTTGGGATTGTATGGTGAAGGGTAAATGCATGTCATTTTGTTAGATATTGCCAAATTCCTCTTCATTGGGATGGTACCTTTTTTTTTTTTTTAACATTTCCACCAGCAATATATGAGTGACTGTTTCCACATAGAATGTATTGACAAGCTTTTGAATTTTTGTCAGTCTGATGGTGAGAAACAAAGTTTTAACTTTATTTTTATTTTTTGTAGAAAAGCATTCCCTTCATTGAATTGTTCATGATTTTACACTGATATACCATACTCATTTGTTATTTACTATTATTATTACTAATTTTTTTTGCTTTGGCAGCTAGCCAGTTCAGGGATCGAACCCTGGCCCTTGGGGTTATCAGGACTGTGCTGTAACCACTTAACTGCACTGGCCAGCCCCTCGTTATTATTATTATTATTTTTTTTTTTTTTTTGAGAACTGAGTTTTGAGCTTGATTTCAATCTCTCATAACAAAGTCTGTTAAAGAAAATGAATGATAGTTACATATTTAACAAGTTACACAATATATATAAAGATTACTATATCCTAAAAGAATTATGTAAAGTTTATGTTTGATTAAAATATTTTCATCTATGGTGCTTTGTAAACTGCTTAATAGTCTTTTTTTTTTTGTGATTATTGAAAAAGATCAACAAAATTTGCAAACCTTTTTCTAGACTGACCAAGAAAAAAAGAAGACAGAAATTACTAAAATCAGAAATAAAGCAGGGGCATGGTAGAGCAGTTGCTTCTTCTGTTATGCTGGAGTGGGCTTTGAGGAAAGAGATGTCCTTTTCTTTTTCCGGTCTCCACTGATGACTCTCCTTGTGTCACTGCAGCAGGGTGCCTGGTGGGCTGCCTGCGTGGTAGCTGTGCCTACTGCTACAGTATCGCTTTTGCAGCAGCCATGGCTGTGGTGGAGGCTGTAGGGGGCCACCCTTGAGGATGTGGTGTCTTCGGTATGCTCCTTGCCTGTTTCCCAGTGGGGAATGCTGCCCTCAGCTCCTGCCTAGGACTCTGGGCGTGCTCTGTTTCTTGCCTCGAAAGTTTTAACTTTAATTGAATATCTTTTAATATGGTTAAGGGCCATGTTTATATCTTGTGTACTCTACCCATTTTTCTATAGGATTTGGGTCATTTTTTTTTTCTTTAATTTTTAAAAGTTCTTCATAAATTAGGGATATTAACTCTTAATCTGTGATATACATTGTGAATATTTTATTCCAGTTTTTCATGTCTTTTGACTTTGCTTATGGTACTTTTTTGTCATGCAAGCTTTTAATTTTTATATGGTCAAATGTATCAAACTTATCTGCCTCTGAGTTTTGAGTCATAGTTAGAAAGTCTTTCCCTACACCGAGACTAAAAAGGAATTTACCCCTTTTCTTCTAGTACTTGTACAATCTTATTTTCTACACTTAGATTTCTTATGCTTTTGGATTTTATTCTTATGTATGGTGTGAAGAAAGCATCTAATTTTATATTTTTCCAAATAGCTATCCAGTTGTCCCAATATTGTTTATTATTTTTTATTTTTTGTTCATGCTTAGTGTTTTATTTCATAAAACAAGCTGTGCCATCAACCCTCTAAAAATACGTACTTGTATCTTTCCAGTTTCCACCATTCCCAGACTTCATTCAGTTTCCTCCAACTTCGAACCACTTTCTTTTCCAAGTTCATACCTTCCAAACATTTTAATAGTGAATAAATGTTAAATACTGAATTTTACTATTACAGAAAGGGGAAGCTAGAAAAATTTAATCTTACTCTGTGCCCAAGATTGCAATGCTACACTTGAAGCCAATACTGTTTATTAAAAAGACTCTTTTTGCCCAGTGATTTGAGATGACACCTTTATCATGTTTTTATATATAATTAGGTCTGTTTCTGGACTGTTTATTCTATCCCTCTATTTGTGTGTCAGTACCATACTTTTATTTATTTTTTTTAAAAGATGACCGGTAAGGGGATCTTAACCCTTGACTTGGTGGTGTCAGCAACATGCTCTCCCAAGTGAGCCACAGGCCGACCCCAGTACCATATTGTTTTAATTTTACCAGCTTTGTAGTTTGTGTATCTGACTGGGCTTGTTCCCCTCATAGCTCTGTCTTTTCAGTATTGTCCTAGCTATTCTTATGTATTTATTTTTCCGTATGGGAATTTTAGAGTCAATGCATGTAGCTTTGTAAAAAAAACTCATTGGTATTTTTATTGGGATTACATTAAATTTATAATTTTGAATATAAAGTCTTTATAATATTGAGTCATCCTATCCAAGAATAGAGGATGTCTTTCCATTTGATCAACTTGCAAAAATATGCCAGTAACTGGTTCTTCAGTCACTGTGATTTACACAGATTCATGTAAATTTCCTAATTTATCAGTCTCATTTTTATTTGAGAAGCATTTGTCACATATATGTAAAATAATATAAGGAGGTTAAGTACTCATCAATGTTCAATTTTTATTTTAGATTTCCATGGTGTCAGTAATTCATATTCCTGATAAAACTTATAAACTTTCCTGCAGAATATTGTATCAATATTTACTCCTGGCTCAAGGTCAATTTCATGATCTTAAGGTAAGTTTTACTTTCTAGTCTTATTTCTGTCTCTTTTGTTTACAGTTCCAAAGAATGGTCATTTAAGAAGAGATTATTATATTTTCCAGTTGGTTATGATAGATGTTAATTATTCCTTGCTACTGGATTTTCTAGTTCATAAATTTTGAGCAGCTCTTATGACCCTCAGATTTAAAGAGAAATTGTCATTTATAATTATCTTTAAACTTGTTTCTTTAATTTCCAGCAACTTTTCATGTCTGCAAATAATAATTCCACTCCCTCCAGCAATTCCTCTCCAGAAGAGAAAAACACAGACAGAAGTTTGTTGGAAAGGGCTGGACTGTCTGAAAGTGAAGTGGAGCCATCTGAGGAGAACAGTAAGGACTGTGTTGTTTGCCAGAACGGGACCGTGAACTGGGTGCTCTTGCCATGTAGACACACGTGCTTGTGTAATGGCTGCGTTAAGTATTTTCAGCAGTGCCCAATGTGCAGGCAGTTTGTTCAGGAATCTTTTGCACTTTGCAGTCAAAAAGAGCAAGATAAAGAAAAACCAAAAACTCTTTGAAGATAAAGACAACTGAAAAGTACACTTCCTACTGAAGACACAGAAATTTGTACTCTTAGAATTAATCATAACGTGGAATCTACCGTGTGCACCATCCGTGAAAATTCTATTTTAACTTCAGATTCATTCGGTACATGGATAATGAAAATATCCTTTCCTGTTCACAGTGCTGAATACTGGAATACCATACTCTTAGAATTAATCATAACGTGGAATCTACCGTGTGCACCATCCGTGAAAATTCTATTTTAACTTCAGATTCGTTCGGTACATGGATAATGAAAATATCCTTTCCTGTTCACAGTGCTGAATACTGGAATACCATCTGTGTTAATATATAAAAGTTCATTCAACTCTTGAGAAGAATGTAAATGTTTGGCCTTTTGTTAGTTAGAAGATTTCCTATAAAGTTGATTAGAAAAATCATTCTGAAAGGCAATCCGTCTAAAATTTGAGGAAGTAGAAGTCTCAAGATTGCTTAATGTTTTCTCTTTTACATAATCTGGAGTATAATTAGGAAAGAACTTAGTTCTTCTTAAAGTAATTATAAGTTCCCCAGTTTACAAAGGAGTTGGAAGGGGCTTTTTACTTTAAATCCTTTACTGAAATAATCAGCTTTTATAAATATTCATCTGTTTGGTTTGTAATTTCCCTTATCATAGTTACATAAATACAAGTTTTAATTTTTAAACATAAGTCCTTAAATCATAAATGCAAGATACGATTCTTGACTGTTCTCAGTGTATCACAGATTTACTCATCTATAGAAGGCAGATACATAAAACTTAGATAATAAAATCTCATGGATTATTAAATTTATTAAATTGATTGTCAAATGTGATTAGATCAGCAGAATGTTATCTGTCAGGGAAGATCTGTGAGACTCTTCATGCCTTACCTTACATTTCCTCCTGCATAGTATATCCATCCAAAACTGGAGGGGTTTTAGAAAAATCACTAAAAGAAACAAATAACTAATTTTTTAGTGTATTTTTATTCCAAATAAACCCAATATCCTTTTGAACAGTATTACTTTTTCATCCCTTGTTATATCCTTAAATGTAACAACTTGAGGAACTTGATAGGAAAAAAGCCTATCCCCTACTCTTCCCAAGATGACTAAGAGGAAAAAGGTAAATCAGAGCTTCTTGTGCCTTCCATGAAAATTACCTTCAACTCACCAAGAAAGTAGATTATGGCAAATAAATTGTGACATTCAGGGAGATTTTCAAGTCTTTTTGTCCTGTTTGTATTAAGAATAATGCCTTACCTTTGTATCAGAGTTTTTATACAACATTATTTCATTCCAGTCAGACATAGCATCTCAAGAAGATATTATCTAGTGTCCATTTTATAAACCAAATCAGACTTTCATCTATGGTCAATAGCTATGTAATAAATACCTGCTAGGAGCCAGATACTTTTTGGGAATCTGAGCTACAAAGAATCAGGCAAGACTTCTGACCTCAAAGTATTTGTGCCTACATGAAACATTGCTGGCTAATTAGAAACACATCTCCACCTCTGGAAGTTCCTAAGGCTCTGTTCCAACCCTGCCACTGGAAGCAGGGCAGTCAAAAGCTACAGTCCCTGCTGCAGTTTGCTAGCTGTGTAATAATTAATCTTGACAACTCACTTTGCTATGTAAATTGTGGGAATACTTAGATCACTTTTTCCACCCTAGCCATCCTACCTTCCTTTGGAAATCTCTTTGTACCCAGACTGTCCTGGGTACATAGTTGCTTTTTCATTGGAGGTAGATCCCACCAACCCTGTAACCTTATTCCATTTTCCATAACTTTTTTTGTGGTAAAATATATATAACATAAAGTTTACCATTTTAAGCATTTTTAAGTGTAAGCTAGTGACATTAGGTACATTCACATTGTTGTGCAACATTCATTCACAAGTATCTTATGTCCAGAATTTTTTCATCATCCCAAAGTGAAGCTCCCTACCTAGTAAACCCTAACTCTCCATTCCCCCGACCCCCAGCCTCTCTGGTAACCACCATTCTACTTTCTGTCTCTATGAATTTGACTATTCTAGGTACCTCATACAAGTGGAATCATATAATATTTGTCTGTGTCTGGCTTTTTCACTTAGCATTTAAAAAAATAAAAAATAAAACCTTAAAAGGTGCATCCATGTTGTAGCTCATATCAGAATTTCATCCCTTTTAAGGCTGAATAATATTCCACTGTATGTAAATACAATATTTAGTTTATCCATTCATCTGTCATTTTTCAAAACTCTTAAAGATGATTTGCCTTTAGGTCCTCTACCTGCAGCTAAAGTATTTATTTTTTCTGCTGTCACTGAAAATAAATTTGGGAGAATAATCAAATAAGAATTTGTAATAGGTAATCAAGTAAAAACAAGTATACTGACTCCTAGAGGCTTGTGTCAGAATTTGCCAATAGCTGTGAATACTGGTATTTTGTGAGAACATCTTTAAAAGCATTTGATTTCAATAGATTATTAGAAAGATAAAATATTTGGTTTATATAAATTAGTTACTGCTTTCCAAAAATCCCAACCAGGGCTACATCTAAGCGGACTTAACAGGTGACTAGCCACCTCCATCTTTCAGTGGCCCTATTTTCCCAATGCTGTATCTGTAGAGTTGTTAATGTCTAAACCAGCTGTAGAAAAGGAAGTTAAAAACTGTCACTTAGGACTTAGCACAAGTCATTGAATTATCTCCCATGGAGTTATCCTATTTTTTAAGCCTTACCATTAGTTGTAGAATAAAGACCTTTGTTTTGGCCTGTGGGAATTTGAAGCATCATCATAGATAACTGGGGTTTGGGAAGGAGATGATTTCAGCCTCCTGGACTCAACAGTAACTCACTCCTGCCTCAGGCGGTCCCTATCCCTCTGGACAATTCCCTAACTCCATCCCAGATCTTGAACACTGAATCCCCCTCTCTGACCATGCCTATATTTCTAGGGCTCCTATATCATATTGCTCCTGAATTTTTTCTTCCTTGTTGTCATGACCTTTATTTCCTGGGTCCCTGAGCCTATTCTAATAATTTTTTAACTTGCTCCTGGGTTCCCTGCTCAGCTATTTCAAATGTTTTCATCTTAGCTTCTTTTCTTGACCTCTCCACTTTACCTGCCCCACTAACCTACAAATGGCTTAATATGACTCTTTCTTTATTGCTATTACCACAGAAGGTCAAGTTAGCCTGACCAAGTAATGGAGTCCACTACAAAGCCATGTAGTTTAGTTGCATCTGGACCTTTAGCACTGCCAACAATCCTTTAAATTTTTTCCTTATGGACTCCCCACTGAACTCCCAAGAGTAATGGAGTCCACTACAAAGCCATGTAGTTTAGTTGCATCTGGGCCTTTAGCACTGCCAACAATCCTTTAAATTTTTTCCTTATGGACTCCCCACTGAACTCCCAATAGCTATTCCAAATCTCTTCTACTCTTCTCAAGTTCTGCATCCCACCACTGCCGTACTGCTCTCAGCAAAGAACCTGCAAGACATGGTATGGTGTGGAATTTAAGATGATGGACCCCAAAGCCAGATATTTGGAGAATTTTTTCCACTGCTCTGTCACTAAATAGCTGTTTAACTTGGGAAGTTACTTAACCTCACTCTTCAGTTTCTTCATCTATAAAATGGTGACTACTTACAGGCTGTTGAGAGGATTACACCAGTTGTGTAAAATGCTTTGACCTGGGCAGAGCACATAGTAAGACATATGTGTAACAGGTTTTACGGTCATTACTTTGCTTAGTTGTTCAAAGCCAGTAGACACTCTTTTCCCCAAAATAAGAGGTGTATTAAATCTCCTTTTGGGGCTAATGTTATACTGTGTTCTTGATCTCATCTCTGCTTGCTCCCTGAACTCATTGAATATTCATTTGATAAGCAAATAATTATTAAGTGCTAAAGATATTATACATTGTTTGGTCACTGGGGATACAACAGTGAATAAAATAACCAAGAATCGTTGCCTTCATAGAGCTTACATTATAGTAGAGAGAGAAAGGCAGACCAATTAGTAAAAGATATACTTGTTGTATATCAGATGGAGGTAAGTGCTATGAAAACAATCAAAGCTGGGATAGGTGGGCATGTGAAGCATGGAGGTGGGGTGACTACTTCAATGTATTTGAAGGCCTCACTAGGAATTTTAGTAGAGAGCTGAAGTCCAGGAAGTGAGCCATGTGAATAGGCAAACAAGCCTTAATGACTGCAAGTTTGGAGGAAAAGAGCAGTTTTGTTTTTGTTCAGTTTTAGATGCCAGTTGGAAATCCAAGGAGAGATGTCAAATAAGCAGGTGAGTATACTAACATGGAGTTCAGGGAAGAGGTCCAAGCTGAAGATATAAACATGAGGGGTCATCAGCATGGTGTTTAAAGCCATAAGACTGCACAAGATCTCCAAGGGAGTGAGCATAGGAATAGAAGTGGTCCCTGGACTGCGATTGGGGATTCTCCAACATTCAGGGAGAGTAGGAAGGAACCAATACAGTGAGAAGGAGTTGAGAGTGAAATAGGAGGAAAACCAGAAGAGTGGTCTTTACAGTGATCAATTACTTCCTAAAACCACCTCAAAACTGAGTGGTGTAAAACAACCACCAGTTTATTATGCTCACAGATTCTGTGGTCAGGTATTGGGACAGAATGTGGCATGGATAGGCTTGCCTGGGACCTTCGTTGGAAAAACTTGAATGGCTGAGGGTAACTCAAAAGCCTGTAGGCTAGAATCATCCGACAGGTTTCCTCACTTATGTGTTTGGTGCTGGGCTGTGGTGACTCACAATCTGGGCTGAACTAGGACAACGTGTGGCCTCTCCATATGGCTTGGGCTTTGTCACAGCCAGGTGGCTTCAGGGAAGTCAGACTTAAATGGAGGTCAGGGCTCCAAGAGCAAGTGTTTGTGGTGAACAAGGCAAAGGATGCATGGTCTTTTTTGTTTTATATTTTGTGGAGATATAATTTACATACCATATTATTCCCCCATTTAAAGTGTAGCATTCAGTAATTTTAATGTGGTCACAGAGTTTTACAACCATCACTGCAATCAGTTTTGGAACATTTTCATTACCCAAAAAAGAAACCCTGTGCCTATTCCCATTAACCCCCTCCCCTACCCCCCATCCACCCCCATCACCAG